ACAACGTAAGATTGAGGTTGTAGTTGACGGGCTAACTCCCAACCAGACATTCGAGGATTATCCTCCAAATTCAAATGATAATAGTATTTAAAGTGAGCTGAGAAAGGTTTTTTTAGTGGAAATATTGAGATAATGTATTATTTTTATTATGAAGTATTTTTATTTACCCGATTATCTCTCTTTAAGGATTTTTATATGAGATTAATGTTTGATTGAAATAATGAATATCATTTTTTTGTTAAAATAACATTGATTTTGTAAACTTTCCCCAGAATAAAATAAATCTTTTATGAATTTTTGAGATATATTTTAATATATTACTTCTTAGTTAAGGCAATTAGAATAAAAGAATTTATTCCTTCAACAGCTTTTATCCTTATAAAATTTTTAGAGTATAAAAGAAATGTATATATCTTTTGAGGCTTTAGGCCTTCTGAGATTTTTATGTACATGTACGTTGAAACTTTTAACCTTCTAAATTTTTTATTGTACCTGTACCTTTTGAGATTGTTAGCTTTCAAAGATTTTTTGTGTATATGTACCTTTTGAGGCTTTTAGTCTTCTAAGATTGTTGATGTACCTATATCTTTTGAGGCTTTTAGCCTTCTAAGATTTTTGGTGTACATGTACCTTTTGAGGCCTATAACCTTCCAAGAATTTTTTTTTTATGTACATGTGCCTTTTGAGGTATATGCCTTAAGATAATTTTAATATATATGTACATTTTTTGGCTTTTAGCCTTCTAATATTTTTGGTGTATATGTACTTTTTGAGCCTTTTAGCCTTCTAAAGTTTTTAATGTACCTAGGCTTTTTGAGGTGTATGCCTTTAGAGATTTTGGGATAATTTTATGTCTTATGAGGTTTTTGTCTTCTGAGATTTTAGGTTTACATCTATCTTTTGAGGTTTTAGCGTTCTAAGATTTTTTACATACATCTGTTCCTTCTGAGGCCTTTACTTTTAAAAGCTTTTGAATAATCCTGAACCTTCTGAGGCTTTTACCTTCTAAGGTATTTGAATAGGTGGTGGCCCTATCAACAACTTGCTCTCATGGAGCCTTTCTAGTGAGAACTTTGTCTATTACTAGTTTCTCTTCAAGGCTACATCAAGGGCATGTCTTCATGGGGTTGTGAGTGGAGACTCTGTTTGTCACTCACCCTCGTGGGGTTTTTCTAGTGAGGATCTTATTCACTATTAGCTTTCCTTTGAGGCTACCTCATGGGTGCACCTTGTTGGAGTAGTTTATTATAGAGTTACTCGATGTTGTTAATTTACATTCAAAATATTGAGAAAATCCACAATGGATATTTTACTTATCCAAGGTTATTTGTCAGAGCGTTGCTCAATGATGTTAACTTGTGTGGAAGAGGCCGAGAGAATCCACTCACGATGTTTGCCCTATCCGAGCTTGTTTGTCAGAATGTTTCTCAATGATGTTAAGCCTGTATATAAGAGGTCAAATCGAATCCCCTAGGATCATTTGTACCTTGATTGGGAGGAGGCAAATGCCATATGTATCTCGCATCAAAAGTGAAGATTGATCTGTCTTTAGATCATCATAGTCTTTTCGAGGTTGAGATTAAGACATTGCCTAATAAGTAGAAATCTAGCTGGGGACTGTATAAAGCTTGAAATTTACTTAAGCATCCTTACATTTATTGGGAGCAGTATGAAAAATAGCTGTCAATGACATTGTCTCAAACGTTGAAAATATTGAAGAAAATTTTCTTGGCCATAATAATATATGAGGTTGCAGCCAAAGTTGCCCCCAGTCCAAATCTACTTACCACAAAATTGATGCAGCAGTGGTTGATGCTTGAGAGGCAATAGAAAAATGCATAAAGTTTCCCTCAAAATTGAAGGACTTCCTTTGGATCTGATAATAGATTATGATGAAGGGACTGTCTTACTTCAGCCATGCCCTAGTCATTGATGTGAACAACCTTTCGAGGTTGCAACAAAGGTTGTCCCATAGCTTTGAACCTTTTTATCGTATAGCTTCAGGGGCCCCCTCTTGCTCTTGACTCCCACTCTATCACTTTCCCTCTCTCCTACCTTTCTCCTCTCTCTCTCTCTCTCTCTCTCTCTCTCTCTCTCTCTCTCTTAGCCTTTTTTTTTCCGCTGGCAATCTTCTCCAATTTCCTCTAGCCTTCTCTCTCTCTCTCTCTCTCTCTC